TCTGAATATTATCAGGATCCCATCGAACGCCCGCCTTTCGGTTTATCTGACCATGCCTCAATTGAGCTCCAACCGAAAGAATTTCCGGGTAGGAAAAGTCTTAAAGAGGCAAAGAGATAAATTGTTTGTCAAGTGGAAAGGATACCCAAGCAAATATAACAGCTGGATTGAAAAGAAAAATTCAAAGTGATTCTTGTACTGGTACATGACACATCATGAGAGGTGGAAGTTTAAGGCGATTTAAAGTATATGTAGCCGCAGACCAAGGTGGAGGCACCATGATGCGATGGAAAATCCGTTTCCTTACACCCCACCGCCTTTCATTGGATCTTGGGGTGATTTCCAAATGGGCTCTGGGGTGAAAGACATAATCAAAAGATGTTGCCAACGGTACAGGCAGAGGGATTAAAAGGGCCTTCACCAAATTTTCACCGTCAGAATTACCACGCGGTGTCAAGAGAGGTTTTGATGGAAGCTGTGAAAAACGAAGCTAAGAGAAAAGTCGAGGAAAATATGCCGAGGAAAATATGCCAAGGCCATTTTTAGCAATGCCCAATACATCGTGGCTTTTAAAAATCCAAGAGATAAAATAGCTTTGCGGACATTACTGTTACAGATGTACACCACCAACTGGCAGGCTGTCATGGATACATAAAAACATTTGTGCAGACAGACCGCATGGTTATTTTTGTTTTGATGTACACCCAGCAAGTAGTGATTCTACGATATTTTTAAGTCATTTGTTACGCCACGAAGGGTGTGTACGGTGTTACAGACCTAAATAAATAAGCAAGATTCGAAGGCAAAGACGCAGTTATTCTAAAGGCGAGAAGAGTCAAGAGAAAAAGAGGAAAAAAAGGAGGCATTTTACCTTTAGCAGCAATCATTCCTCCCCTTATTGCTGGTGGTAAAGCAGTAGGTTTAGGTGCATTAGCAGGAGCCGCTTCGATTAGAGCTAAAAAAGGATTAGACGCTCTTACCAAGAATAGGCGACGATGATGAATAGTATCAAGAGAAATGTATATTTCTTAAAATCCATCTTACGAGAAAAAAATAGAAACCATCGTATGGAAAAATTACTTACCGCAGGTGAAGATCAATCAGTGAATGTACCTAGAATATGTTAGAGAAAAAGATACCGTTATCTCCACCGACGTCGCTATACTCAAGAAATATAAAAACGTGTTACGAGAAGTCGGGAAGCGAGCCAACTTTTTGAAAAAGCGGCGTCAACTCCTTAAGAAGCAAAAAGGCAGGGGCTATTGGAGTGGTATGAACAAAGCATTCTGTCAGTGTTTAAAATGAACCAAAACGTGTGCAAGAGGGTATACACCAAGTGGGCACTTGTATAACGTTTCATTTGAAGTTCAGTGACGACGACAACTACAACGATACTCGCGAAACACCTGAATGTAAAATAACCTTAGCTCAAGTAATTCATTGGTTACGTGTACGCGTCTCAGAACCTTTACTAAAAAACGCATGGAGACGGTCCTCACGGTAAAACCTGAAGAGTTTCGAGTTTTGGTAGACTATTACAAAGGAAGAATTACCGAAAGTACTTTATAAGATAAAGCAGCACGTGTGGCAGCCAAAGCGCAACTTGTATTACTAGATCCTACGACTCCTGCGGCTTTAAAAAAACCTGTGTTCAAACAGTTATTGATGAAAGAATGTAAATTAACCGACTAATTAAGACAGGTCCTTATGTCTGCCGGTCCGGAAGCGCCACCTCGAGATGACCAGAGAAATTTGTTAGATTCCATACAAGATGGAGTCATCAAAGAACTGATTCGTTCTATAAATACACGAGGAACACCTGCCACACCTCAGATGAAAAGAGAGCCTGTGACACCTGCGACACCAGGCATTTCTAAAATTCCTACAGCTAAGAAACCAAGTGAAAGCAGCAAACGTTTTACTCGGCTGAAACGTTTAAAATTTGAAAAATTACTTGTGACACCTATAACTTCTATTAAAAAACAATTACCTAAAGCCACTCTCGTCGTCCCTACACCAAAAAGAAAAGTGTTACGTCTTCTTCAGAGGGGCGACCTACTAAGAAACCAAGACAAACGGAAGTAGAACGCTTAAAAGCTTTTGGTAGGTGATAGCCTTGGGAAAAGAGAAGTTGGGATCCAGTTCAAGCTGTGAAAGACAATGAGACGCCAAAAACGTCAGAAGAGGCAAAGGCAGGGGCAAGAACCGCCCGAGGAAAGAGTAGAAGACCACGACGACAAACATGAGGAAAACTTGATATCCAGAAATGGATTTCAAAATTAGGTGTGGAGTTTTATTGGCCGGGGTATCAATACATGGATCCGGGAACCAAATTAGCCAAACGATTAAAACGTTGTGATCCTGGGATTAATCGATTAGATAAGTTAGCCAAACAGTACGATATCGATTACAGTAAAGTTACATCATTCACTGACAAACATGTAGCCGATCGTAAGATGATTGCTGGTATTAATAGATATTCAGGCAGAAAAACGCTGACGGAACAAATTGTCAAACGTATCATGCTTTCTCACTTCTCCAATTACCTGAAAGGACTCAAAGACAGCGATATACTCCTGACGACAGGTCGAATCAAAGTAGCGAGTGGTAAGGTACCGCAGAAGGTAAATTACTCTGTGACGTATGCAGAAATCAAGCATCATCGTATCGAGACAGCTCACGATCTCCTAAAAGCTCTCTTTGACGAAGAAATCTTGAAATATTTTATGAATTTGGATGCCAAGTTTAGCAGTCATTTTTCTTCGGGTCACACAGCACAGTTTGAAGTCATTGATGATGAAAAAAAAAGAAACTTTTACCATTTCAGCGGACAAGATTAAATCAAGTGCCCTGGCACATTCACAAGTTCGAGATGATATCTACTTTAAACTTCCTCGAAATATGTGTCAGTTGTTTGGGTGGACAAAACTGACAACCGTGCGTTATCTTCAAAATGGTGGAGTGCCTGATGAAAACGTTAATGTAGCACGACCAGCAGAAAATCTTATCGGGGCAAAACGCGGAAGCGCGTGGAGCTATGATAGAACGCTTACTACATTAAACCAGTCCTACCACCGATATGATATTCCTTGGCAAAATCTATGACTACTCATAGATTTCTTCTCAGTAATCTCAACTGGACCTTCGTCCATACCAGACGAGGCACCTATATCAATCTACCGTATCCGCGTACTTTGTACCTTTTTTCGTCCTTGTACGTGTGCTCCGGTACGTATGGGAAATCAGACCACCGATTTGTTACGCCAAATTCATTACCAACCAAGTTTGAAAGTACATTATTATTATGAGCCCAATCAGATACATTATATTCCAATACGTAACAATCACATTGATGTCATGGAAACACAGGTAAGAGAGTCAGAAAACAACGAGCTGGCTCAGTTTCCTAAAGACGGTACAAGTATCGGGACATTCCATTTTAGACGCATCAAGTAAAAAAAAAAACAAACAAATAAAAAAAACATGGATTCGACAAAAAAAGGCAGCTGGAGGCTGCCTATCGGGAGCCGCCACCGACGCCACCAGGACAGAAGAGGAAGACTGGGAGGATAAAATAGAACGCCTATTAAAATAAATGATACCTAACTTTGAACAACGAACTTATTTTCTAAAGAAATTGCTTGATATTATTGAAAAACAGTGAAGTAGTAGCAGTGAAGCAGTAAAGATGCCTCAAGTGTAATCATGTCGATGCCGTAAATGTAAATCGTGTTTGGATTTGTATTACAAAAGATTACGACAGATCTACTTTCCGGATAAAGGAACATCGATGGCTACAGGGATACAAACGTTTTCGACCACACTCTCTCACAGACAATGTAGACAGTAATAACACCATGTCAACTTTTTTTAAAACTTTGTTTTATTAAAAAAAAAATTAAAAATTGTGAAAAAAGTGCGCGCGTTAAGTGTCCATGATTTCTTTATAAAAGCAACATGTTCATATTCTCTGAATCTTCTGCATTCAGTTGGGTATGGTCTAACGCACGTTTATCCAACACCAGCTGGTACAATTTGGCTTGTGTCCGTTTTAATTTTCTTTGCTGTAGGGTTTCGGACAAAGTGTGTATGATTCATTACTTATGTTTTCTTTCGCTCATCTAATGGATGTAACACTTCATCTAAAATGTTCTCTCGCACAATGTCATAGTTGAGCTGTCATTTTCCGCGAACGTTCAACGAGAATCCTTTTTACATTACATACGACTTTCCCATTCTTCGTTCGGTATCCATAGTTCTTTGCGCCTGTGGAGACAAATTTTGTGATGTAGTCGTCATCGTTTCATTCATTCGTCATGTCCCCCAAAAAGTCGCCAAGCTCGATTTCTGTCTGCCCCAGTTTCCAAGTATAGATGACTGAGTCTGTATCGTAATACAAGACTCGGTCACCTAACTTTTTCAGCGATTGGTAAAGTTTTAAACGAGCTCAACACGTGGTCAAGGCAGCAATAAAGATGTTTGTGTTGGTTCCTTTGAAGGGGTCTTCTTCTCGTTCATACGTCCCTTCTAGGACTTCTGAATTTAGAATGCGCAGATCCGTGACGGTAAACAGTTGGGGGTCGTCCTTTAAATCCAGGAGCTCATGAGGTTGAGTACGCTGTTTTGTTTCGCTTTTGTTATTCTGTTGCCCAAATTTTCCCCAGAAGGAATTTAACATGAGTTTTGCCGTCGCTTCTCTTCCCGGGTTTTTCTCAATTTTTGTTGGGTCGAGTCGAATACCTTCTTTTTCTTGATACCTACGTCGATATTCTTTTTTCTCTGTGTCACTTCGAGCCCACTACGGGTAGCCACCGCTCTCTTGTTTAAACTTCAACCACGTATCGACGAAAGGTTGGAATAACCCTTCTCGGCGACGTGGGAGATCCCACACTACATTAATTTTCACGAGCCGGTATCCTTTCTCTATCGCTTTCATTATTTCAGGGTACACCAGGTCCCTCTCAACATCTGCTCTTTATCCGTATGGGGCAACCATGGCTTCACTTTAACATATCTCCTTTTTGGGTTTCCACTTCAACACATGCACGACAGAGTGGGAAAGCGCGCTTGTATGAATTACCGATTTTACGGCGAAACGGTAGAACTGGATTGTACAAACCAGTGGGCGGGACGATGTCTACTTTCATGAGCCTAAAGTAGCTTCTAAGATTTTGGTTTTCAGGTTCAAAATAGATGTCTGGATGACCGACGGGATATTCACCATATTTGTTGACGAACGGGTATTCAGAGGCAACGTCCACATAACGTATCTCTTCGTCTTCTGCTAGGTTGGCTGTATAGTAGAGACAAGCAGCGCCGGTTCTTCCGCCGAAGAAACCTTCTCTTGAGTTTAATGGGGAGATGATATCCATATCTTTGAGAAAATCGACGATGGTGGGTGTGTCTTTTTTTTCTTGTTCCCACTGACACCCCCACATCTCCACGACTCTATACCCTCTACCACGGAGTTTTTTTAAATTTTTTTGGTTGGTTTGCTGTCTTAAGACTTCCACGGTTAATCCGTCAGAGCAGAATGGAATCTGTTTTCTCTTTGGGTAGGAACTACGACAGCTATGGAAAATACAGCCATGAAATTCGTACACGGTATGAGTTTCTGCATCATAACCATCGTCGAAGTAGGAGAGGGGGCCTATGGGTATGCAGTGCCCACCACCTTGACGGGTATGTTGAATTCTGCCTCCGGAATGGTGTTGTACCCACATGAGCCATTCCAAGGATGCTTTTGAGTGGTTCACGGAGGCGCCTCGCCATCCTGAGGGAGGTTCAACGGCGATGAGGGTTAAAGGGAGATGTTTCCTTCGCCAATATCGGTTGCAGTAATGGTCAGACATCTCTTTATTGGGTTAAAGTCAGCGATGTGGTGAAATTCTTTGATGAATTTTTCACATCCGGCTTTGAGTAAGGCGACATCAGAGTGGCAGTAGGAGACTAATTCTTCTTTTAGGTTAAACGGTTGCTGTTTGGCCACTTCTTCTTGATACCAAATTTCAAATTCTTCTTTCTTTATAGCGGACATACCATCCGGGTCATAATAGGAGACTTTGGGTAATGGGCCTACATAGTTTTGATTTTCGGGTGTATGGAATTTATGAGGAAAGAATCCTTTTTTAACTCCGTAAGCCCAAAGGTGTCGGTGAGGGCTGTCATAGAATATTTAAAGACGATTTTACCACTTTCCAGGGAAAGCATCTTGGTACCATTTGGAATCATGAGATCGAATTTTCTGCCTTCTCTGGCGAGTTGGTTTTGAATGAAGACGAAGTCATACCCTTTGAAGTTGTGAAATATGCAAATCACCTCGCGAGGGTCCTTGTATCGGTCTTCTGTAAGGAATGTCAGAAATTCTAGAAACTCTGTACTGCATTCTTCACCATAGAACATGTAAGGGATGTCGTTTTCTGAAGTTTGTGCACAAACGCAAATGGGAAGGTGCGTGCCGTCCTCACTCAGCAGGGCTTCGTAATCTGCGTAGACGATGCTTTCCCTGGAAAGTGTTATATCTTCATATGTTTTTTGAGTTTGGCTTTGCTTTTTCGTTTAGGTGCGTCATCTTTTTCAGGGATAGGCTGCATAAAACGCTTGTGCTGCCTAAGATTCACAAACTCCCTGCAGATGGCACATTTTCCAAAATAACACCGATGCGGTTGTTGGGAGTCTGGTTGAAACTGTTTACAGCAATTCCCGCACCTTACTAGGGTTGTACAAATGTTTTTTGTTCGGTGAAACTCAAGACAGGTTTGATCGTAGAAATGGTGGTTGCAGTCAGCGCAGTGAAGTGTGGGTTCATGGGTTTTGGCGCCGCATTCAACCTGCTTACATGCTTTGCAACTTCAGCCACATTGTCAGTTAATTTTTTTGTTAACAAAAATTTTACATCACAATTCGTGAACGAAGAAGCGTTAAAAAATGAAAAACCTTCTGAGCGTTTATCTTCGTATCTGTTACACCTTGCAGCGTGCTATCCTTCATCTCGGCATTGAGACAACGACGGAAAATGGCAAATCTGCAATAAAATACAGGACGATTAAAAAACGATAGATCTATATTCTAATTGTAGTATTGAATGAAAATGATATCCGAAGGATCGAAATGATTTAAGGCTTTGCTTCCCAAAGTTTCTTCTAAATACCTTCGGGTGCCACAGATAATTCCATAAAGGGTTCTTACCGGATACACCTTCACTTCACTATTCGCAACCTCCTGGACAAATTTACTAAGCCGGTAGTTTTAAAGCGTTGGCATCCATTTCTGCCAAATCTGTACTCAACGACTGAACTTTGTACTAATCTCCATAATCGTCAAAAGCGCCACCAGAATCAAGTACAGGAACTTTAACTTTTCTATTTATCTGTCATTCGTGAAAAATTTTAATCGCCCATTTTGTTTTGTAGGCAGTCGACTTAGGAATGCTTCCTTGCAGAAACTGTGATTCTTCTTTCCCAGTTTTTGGAGAACGAAAACGGCTTACAGTATTCGCTGCAAAAGACTCTGCCATCTTCACTATCACGTGACTTACAGTAAACAACAACAAATTTCCCACATTCTGATTATTTTTAAAATACATAATCTCATGGGAAACTGTTGCACTGAAACAATAGCCCTAAATTACTAAAGAAGTGTGGATAATTTTAGAAGTCATATCAAAAACTCGTGCTTCGTGTTTGACCGAGGTCTCTAGACACCTCGAAACAATAAAAGCAGTCGGCCTACGTTCTCGTGCTCTCATCTGTTTCTCGGTGTCTGGAAACCCCGGTCAAACACTCACACTCGTTTTTGATAAATTACTTCACAAACTCAACTAAAAAGAGATCCTTAGGGATTTCGCTTCAAAATAGCTGAATCAGCTTTTCCGATTATAAAGGACACATAACGATGATTGATTCACGCTGTGTTTACAAGCGTCTCACAACATAACAACGAAATCGTGTTACTTCATTGAAATTCAAACTTTAACAAAGGAGTACTTTGCTTTTCTTTCTCCTACGCGTCAAACACTTCAACTATTTGTGAATTAGAAATCTCATCCACATCTTCGTATATTTTTCCCACTATGTTTAAAACCTCGTCTGAGATGCCATCATCCCCAAATTCTTCTTCGTCAAATTTTAGTTTAGCCAGCTACAAGTACAATATTTACCCAGGAAAAATTAAATTACTTTTGAATAAATACGTTTTTTTAATATACATACAAGGTGCTCGCACGAGAGTATTAATTGATGTAATTAATCGTAATCAAACTTTGTTTCTGTGTTCGTTAAAAACAAATTTTATTCACCATTGTGCACTCTGTATCTAGAGAATAGTTGTAAACCACCTAATTTATCCACATTCGTTAACCAATTGATTTTTATACCGCGAGAAACTATGTAACTTTACTTACTTCTCGTTGTTCCGTCAAGTATCTTTAAGGTCTTGTGTGCCTTCTCACTCTACTTCTGCACAGCAAGTTCACGATGGATTAAATCTAGACTTTGTTTTGTGATTGGTGTTTTTCGATCCGTTCACACTTCAAGGTCGTATCGTTTTATGAGAGGTCCGCATATGTCTATGAGTCATGTATTAGACGTAGACTGACCTTGACTGACCTTGACTGACCTGGAAAGAAACGCAGATCAAATTACTTATTCGGTTTTTAGCAAGAACCGATCACAACGCGTGATAGCGGACCAATCAGATACAAGTCATGGTGTGTTATATAAAAAAAGGTTAAGGTTCAGACTATCATTTACAACGCGTTGTGTTCGAGTCCGGGTGAGTTGTACAAAAAAGTAAACAATATCATGTTCAACACGCTGTGTTCGAGTTGTAGTACGAAGAAGGAAAACTGAAATAAGTGATGACGGTTCTAGGACCTAGATTCAACTGTATTTAGTGTTTGTATTTTAGATGCCACCAGCAAGACGACATCTTGATTTTTCGCAGATACCTCCAATTCGTCGCTCGAGAAGATTGGCCCGCGAAGATGTGGAAGAAGATGGGAAAGCATGCAACCAGGAGCACTTGAAGAAATAATTCAACAGGTATGTAACCATTTTTGCTATAAAACCGAAATTACGAAGAACATTTCATGGGAATTTATGCGTCATCCCGCTCTTTTTTTCTTAAGGGTGTCCAAGATATATGGGTAGTCTCATTGTCACTCCAAACTCTTTGGATGGACATATATTATTTATCTGTTTGGAATGCGAATACTCATATGTTTCTTATAGATATTAAATTACTTTCAGATTCTTTTTCTATCACTGATAAAAAGTGACAAAAACATTTTTTATTTTTCAGTTGTCAAGATTTTTCAACCCTTTAATTGTTGGATGCAATCGATTCGTATTCTCGAATGAAGTCATATTCAATTTCGCGATACGTGTCATTACCTAATGTAGACGATGTTACCTCTTTTGCGAGAACCACATTTTCAATACCAATCATATTCAATTATTTACTACAGTCGTTTGTGTCATAATGAATTATCTCATATACTTTATTTATTATTTTCCTTTTCAATCATATGTTTTTTGCGATATTCATATCTATGCTAACTCCGTTGATTATACTCGTTCGTTAAGAAATCCTTTTTCTATTCATCTTTAGATACCAACAGCGTTATTTGAAGCTTCCTATTCTGTTCTCGACAACGGCTTTCTGATGGCATATTTGTAGAGACTTATCCGCGACATGAGAAATGTTCTTACGCATCTACCTGTGGAAAACCAACGCATTCGTATTGAAGTGTATTGACATCCGCATTTTAACTATTATTTTCTGTCATATATCAACGAACGTGTCATTCCTTATATACGAAGATTGTTTTTAGGTCAAACTTTTCCTTTCGCAGAATTTTTATTTTCGTTATTTGAACCTATTCGTAGAGTAGTTCATGCATATTTTAAAATTAGTATGCGTTACCCTCTAATTTCAATGAGTTACTCTGGTAGATATTCACATTGTATGTTTCGGGAATCATTTAGCTGATTTTTAAATTTTTTTTTTTTTTGCTTTTCGATAGGTTTAAGAAGAGCTGATTTTCAAATTCATCTTCTCACCACTATAAATTCACTTATTGACGTAAATCAATTGCTACCAATGCTTTGTCACATTCTTATAATTTTTTTAAGGGACGAAATACCGGCTTATAGACCTACAGATGAAATACAAATTTTGCCTCATTTCTCTTTTTCAAATGAGCTTAATATAAATATAGTGTCTGAATTTATTTATCTTTTAAATTTATTTCTACCATATTTAGTTCAACAATTTTCAACGAGTCCATATACACTACCAGAAAGAATGCATCAAAATCATTATATTGATCATTTTATCTATGTGCGAGGTTGTATCCTCTTTTATATTTAGATTTTAATGATTCAGATCTTGATGAAACAGGTAGTGATGATTCGGGTCTTTAGAATTCAGATAGTGATTTTTAAATCATAAATTTTCAGATTTCATCACATGATTTTATATCTACTTTATCCAAACTGTATGTATGTGACACAAGGACGCTATTTTAAAGATTCTATTTTAAGCCTACTTCAAGCTTTAAGGATAAGAAGAGAACGTCTGGAAAATTATGTCATTCAAGTTAATTTTATGTATGAATTTCAGATATGCTTTTTTGAAGCACATCATACATCACCTGAAGTATTTTTTCCTTTTATCAATTTCTTTTTGATGTCATTTTACAACATTCTATTGAGAAATTTGTTAGGAGTACATGCTAGTAGTTTTGAAAGAAGACATTTAAGTCGAGTTTATTGTGACAATAATTTATTTGCGCAACTTTGTTTATTTTCTATTTTATAGATATCTCAAGAATCATTATGTAGCTTGATAG